CTACTGTCTTGCAGAGAACTTAAAACAGGGTTGTGTGAGACCATTATCACAAGTGTTTTTTTTTTTTTTTAATTAAAAAAGCTCCTTTAAAATACCTACAGCTTCTCTGTTCTCCATAGGATTTAGACAGGAATCCAGTACAGATAAATCTATGTGATGATAGTTGCTGTACTGTCAGAATTACTCTTTTTCTCTGACTCAGTCAGCTTTTATATTGCACTGTGCTCTTTGTGTCTAGGGGCTTCTTCCTTTAGCTGAGTTCTCTCCCAAGATAATCCTTATTCTTCCAAGAAATAGACTTCTGGTAGGCTTGCTTTTCCAATTTGTTTAACATGTGCCAAGATGTACAAATCAAGCTGAGAATCTTCTTTATGTGCTTATTATGAAAAGTTTGCAAAAAATAAAATTCTCAGGGTTAAAATGGGCCTATAGTGTATTTCTTAGACAAACTGCAATCTTCTTCTCTTCCATAGCTTTGGCCCTCCTTTACGTGGATGACCTCTAAATTAACTATCTCTGCCCTCCTCCTAGCTGCCTACCGCTTATCTTTATGTAATTGTTCCTCTCAAGCACAACGTCAACCTTTCCAAAATCGAAATCATCAACTCTTACCTGTTATTCCTACAATTTGTTCTCTCCATTAAGTTTCTCTTTTATTTTAAAGGCTAATGATCCTAGCTGTTTAGGTCCAAGATTCTATCTGGGATATTCTTCCCCATAATCCCATTGTCAAAGTTTCCTTATTTGAGGATCTAATCCAATTTCCATCCTCCTGTATCTCTTTTGTCAAAATAAATCCCTTTCGCCTATATTCTCATAGCACTCTGTAATTCGTTAAAGCATTGGCTCAATCTCCTTTGTATTAAATTTTGCATCTCCTGATTTGTTTACAGAAATAAATGAGCATCTACTATATAAAGTATTAGATGTTCTATGTTTTTATTTAATCACCACACAAATCATTTTACAAGTAAAAAATTAAAGCTATTTCCTCATCTGCAAAAGAAACAACTCTAAACCCAAATGAACCATTAATATCTTAAATATCTTAATATAGTATTTGATATAATAAATATCAGCTCAATAAATGTATTTTTATTTTGGCATTCTAGCAGTGTTTAATATATACTAGTATTCAGTGTTTGTTGAACTGAGTTGAGATAAAATGCAATTCAAATTTCATGAAAACTTTAGGATATCCATTTTGTACAAGGTGCATTTTGAAGATTGGCTCGTATTTTTACCTTGTATTTTTTACAGTGAGAGATGGTAAAGGCAAAATATTTATCATCCTTTAGATCTCTCCAGACCACTAGAATAAAGTAATAGCAGTTATCAGGTATCGGCAGTAAACCTGATGTTAAAATTTCTCAAAACAAAGTTCCACAAAAGAGGAAAAGAAGAGCTATTTTCATCAACCAGTAAGTCTCATGAAGGGCCTACTAACTATTTAAAAACTGCTTTATAAACTGTAGGATATTTTACAGTTGTGACATAGTCTCATTACTTTGGTGATTACTAACGAGTACAGCTACTGTTACTATATGGCTCTGTGCTAGTGCTACAAAAGTATAAAAATAAATATATTCTGGAAATTAAGGTCTAGTTTGATAGGATAGTGATAAAGCATATCAAATAGTGATAAAACATATAAAATACAGTCATTGTTACATGACTGTAACAATGTTAGGTTTATGAACTCTGTAACTATTAACATGAGGAACCAGGGGCCTCTCCTAAGCGGAACCAGAGAAGCGTTTTTTAAAAAATAGCATCTGAGATGATTCTAAAGAGGAACTAGGGGGAGTGAGGATATCTCTGGATTGATTATCACGGTAATTTTTGTTCAGGAGGTGAGGGGAACAAAGCAGGGCTGTGTAAGTTCTGGTAAGAAAGCAGCAATTAAAAAAAAAATTAAAACCCATGTAAATATTCACAATAGCCAAAGGGTGGAAGCAACCCAAGTGTCCATCAGTGGATGAATGGATAGACAAGATGTGGTGTACACACACACACACACACACACACAGGAATATTATTCAGCCTTGAAAAGAAGCAAATTCTGACACATGGTACAACAAGGATGAATTTTGTGGACATTATAAATGAAATAAGCCAGACGCATAAGGACAAATACTGTATAATTCTATTTACGAGGTACCTAGTATTATCAAATTAATACTAGTATTATCAAATTAAAACCAATTAAGATGAAAAAGATATTTGCTTTGGGATATTACTATTTAAGATTACTAATCTAATGTTACACAGAAAAACCAATAAGCTGTAAATTTCCTTATGGCAGAGTGGTGTAGCTTTGAGATAGGGACAGAAAGTAGAACGGTTGTGGCCATGGGCTGGGAGGTGGGTGGCTGGAAATGGAGAATTAGTGTTTAGTGGATACAAAGTTTCAGTATGAGAAAATAAAAAAGTTTTGGAGATGGACAGTGGTGATGAATGTGCAACAATGTGCTGTATTTAATGCCATTGAACTGCACATTTAAAAATGGTTAAAATGGGACATTTTATGTTAAGTATATTTCACCACTATTAAAAAAATGAAAGTAAAAAAATGTAAAAATAAAGAAGTGGTTGTTCAATAAAGGAGGGTTTGTATGACCTTGTCCTGTTAGAAACATTGTCTTAGATCCTGTTAGAAACATAGTCTGCCCACCAGCAGTGCTGACAAGCTGACTCAGGGTCCTGTTTCCTTAGAAACTACAGTTAAGATAAATGTGGAACGCTGTGTCTGAAAACCTTTTATCTGAATCTCTGCCCCTTGGTTGGAAATAGAGGCAGCTTTTCTGTCAAAGTGACCTACATTGCTCAGATTCTTTAAGTAAGAGAGATGTTCCAGTCTCACCGAAATAACATCAAACAGCAACATTTCTCAGTCTATTTTAAGGAACAAGATTTCTTGGTTTTATACCCCTGATGTTAATAAACAAAGGTAGTTTTTATAGGCTCACAACAGAATTGAAAAAACAGTCTCTTGGCAGAGTGGTGTAGCTTTGAGATATATTCTGTTAAGAAAGGAAAAGAGAAAGAAATGATTGAGTCCACTATGGGACAAGGTTGCTTTCGGATTCAAGGACCCCATTTTCTTGTGTCTATCCTCCCTATTATTTACATGGTTTGGATTTGTTAATTTGGTGCATACATTGCTTTGCTTTGGGATATTACTATTTAAGATTACTAATCTAATGTTACACAGAAAAACCAATAAACTGTAAATTTCCTTATGTTATAACACAATTCACCTAAAATGTCTTTATATTTATAATCAAAGTACATTACTATGAAAACTGAAATTTCAAAAATGTCCACACATAATTTTAACTACTCAGTATTTTAAAATTATAATAAATTTTCAGGATATAAATTCTTAAATGTAAATAGCATTTTGTAAGTTGTAATTTGCGATACAACTGATCAATGTTCCAGTGGTAACTTCGAAAACAAAAGTTCTTTGAAAATTTAAAGAATACTTTAGGAGGAGGATAAAAAGCCCAACTGAAAAGTTTATATACTTCAACTGAATCTACTTTCTATGAATGAAGTTTAAAACTAAGAAAAAAACTAAAAAGGAAATGTAGACTATTCCTTATAAAGAAGGCTACAAATGAATAAAAAGGCACAGCAGAAACAGTGTGACTCATCAGGCAATGCAGTTACAATATGGACACATTCTGCATAATGCAAGTCTTTACATTGTATGTATACCTGTGCACGATTTGATGACCCTTCAAAGAAGAGTTTCTCTGCGCCTGGGCTGGTGGTGGGTTGGGTACAACAAAGGAGTTGAAGGTGAAAGCCAGTAAGTACACTGCACTATTCTTACAGCTCTGATTAGGCAAGTTTCTCTCTCACAAAACCCGCTCACTAGGTATGAATTACTATGCGACAGACCACAAACTCTCTAATGAGTAGCAATACGACTTTCAGAAAAATATATAGAGGACATAATTCCAGGCTGAAATCAATGTTTGTGACAAAGTCGCACTCTGCATATAAATTTGCTACTAAATAGCCAGGATTTAAGAAACTTGAAAGGTCCTGTCGGTGGCTATTATGACTTGCGGAAATGATAAAGATAGTTTGATCAAAACCAAAGCAGCTAACAGAGCGGAGGCTGTTTTTAGTTCATTTTGATTTAATTTGCTACCTGGATTCCTTATATAAGGCCAAGATTTAACTTTGAGAACTTGTCAGGGTGGAGTAGGAAGTCATTACCACGAATACGCACCAGCTGAGCTGAAACACAAATATCCCTCCGTAAGAAATAACCCTTTGCCAATGAAGGAAAGGGACTTCAGCACCTAATGCGTACCAAGTGATCTCTCAGACAAGATCTCATTTAAGAATCTCTGAAGGATTCGATGAAAGCGGAACTGGCCTGCTGGCCTAAAAAAAGCACGCTGCTCTGCTGTCTCACGTAAATGAGAAAAATAACCAGTGTGTGGAGTGGAAGGGTAGGCAAATAAATAGAGGAGGGACGAAGGAAGCAAAGAAAGATACATTTGGGGAGAGAAAACCAAAACAAAGCAAAAATAGATAACCAGGTATTTTTCAACCAAAGTAAGAGAGTTCTTGCTGAACTAGGCAGTCTGCAAGTAATCTAAACTCAGGAAATAACCTCTTTGAAACGAACAAACTTACTTCTGAAAAACATGCGCGTCCAATAACATCCCCAAACACGTGGCGGGGGTGGGGAAATCGGTCGCAATACCAGGCGACACTCTAAGTCCCATCATCCTGTTCGGCAGTTAAACTGAGATGTTCAAGGGCGAGTCGGCGCACTGGGTGCCGGGACTTGTGGTTTTTGCTCCTGCACCTCCCCGCGGGTTTGCGACGTTTAGCGACCATCGCGCCTGCGCCAGCGCCGGCTGAGAGGCTGGGGCAGTGGCGGCTCGTGCCGGGTGATGCTAGGCGGCTCCCTGCGCTCCAGGCTGTTGCGAGGTGTGGGTGGGAGTCACGGGCAGTTCGGGGCGCGGGGTGTCCGCGAAGGTGGCGCAGCCATGGCGGCAGGGGAGAGCATGGCTCAGCGGATGGTGTGGGTGGACCTGGAGGTGAGTGAGGTCGGTGTGGGGGTGAGGGAAGGCGAGTGAGGTTTCGCGCGTGGACCGAGTAGCTGAGCCTGTCCGGAAGGAGCGGCGGGCTTCTGGGTCCCAGGTGTGGCAAGTGAGTGCCGCCCGAGTGTGGGCGGCGCGGGGCAAGTCAGGGGGCAGGAGTCCTGCGGGTGTTTGGGACTATGCTGTTTTGTGAGGTTTCTTTTCAGAAGGGAGGCGTCATCTATATGGTTTTTTACCGCCCTCCTCCTAGTTCCGCCCAGATGTGAACCTCTCTAACTCTCTGGTACCCCTGGGGCTTGGGGTCACAGGTGTAGGGGTGAAGACAGCGGTTCTGCTAGACTCCACTTCCCCAGCCTTACAGGACCCTAGGTTGTTGGAGCTAGATGGGACTCTGGAGATGACTCAGCTTTAACTCTCTTTCCGTAAACTAGAAAACTGAGGCCCGTAAAGAGGATTCAGCTCATTCAAGGTCATACTGTTAGTGAGCATCTGAGTTGGAACTAGAACCCGGTTCTCTTTCCTTTAGATTTTCCATACTCAGGCCAAGGACTCTGTCCTTTCTCCAGCCTCAGTTTTCTCATATATGAAATGGGGATAATAACAGTACTTTCCACATTTGATTGTGATGACGATCAAGTGGTTAATTAATTAATATGAAACCTTTGTAAACTCTGCAGAGATGTAATGATGTTAGTTATCTAACACTTCCGAAATTGAATGCTGTCAGCACTCAAATTTGCTTACTTTGCATTTGTCCTAGAGTGGAACCAGGTTGTTTGACATATAGCAGGTTTTTGCTAAGTGTTTATTGAATAAATGACTAATGTTTAGTACCTTGAGGGCTTTTCTGTCCTGCTATGGGATATAAATTGAGTATGCTTGAGGGAATTCCTGTTAAATAAACTTTGTTAAAACAGGCCAGAAAGGTGGTTTTGTGTGTGTTATATATTTATTTTTTATTGCAGATGACAGGATTGGACATTGAGAAGGACCAGATTATTGAGATGGCTTGTCTAATAACTGATTCTGATCTCAACATTTTGGCTGAAGTAGGTGGTGCCCTGTAATATAACCATACTGTTTAGTGTGTATGAGAAATATAAAGATCGTTTTCCCCATCTCTTTATTTAAAAAATAAGAAAACCGAGATTCCATATAGATGAAGGTACAAAGTAATGTGCTAAGTCATGGTGGGATTGGTACTAGAACCAAACTAATCCAGTTCACAGCCTAGTTATTTTTCAATAAGCCATGCCAAAAATTATAGAAACAAATGCTATCATTTACTGTGTGCCAGGCATAGCCCTTAAGTGCTTTACATGTATTTAATCTTAATCCTCACAACGACTATAAGGTAGGAGCTATTATACTCATTTTATAGAGGAGGGCATTTTGGCATAGAGATGTTGGGTAATTTGCCTAAGGCCACTTGACTAGTTATTAGGGGAGCCAGGAATTTAACCCAGACATTCTGAGTAAAGTGCTCCTAATCAATAAGACAATAATCTATAGTCCCACCAGGATTGGTGACTCATGCTGGAGTTGACACTTTTATATCATAACTGTAACTTTAATTTGACTCTATATATTTAGTTTTTGCTTTTTCAACTATGATGTGTGATTCTTCTAGATCTGTATTAAGATGTTAGAAATTCTGCTGATGCAGAATCCTAAAACGTTCTCTTGTTGACATATTGGGCATTATTAAAGTTTTAATGTGCTGCCTTTAACTGAAACATTAAGTAAAACAAATAAAACACACCTGTTGCCTTTTGGCCACTCACGAAACATTTAATAAGTGTGTGACAGCATCTGATTGGTAGAGGGTAAAATCCCTGGCCTTGAATAACTCATTGTCAGCAATATTCAGAGGCAGTAAACTGTGGAATAGGAACACAGTATGGATGTTTGTGGGAAAGATAATCTTCTTAAAATAAGTCCCCAGAGGGTAGGATTGATATTTTACTGGCACTGGATAAATTTTATAAATCCGTAGTTAAGACTACACTTATTTTCCTGGATAGATAAAAGAGAGGAGAAGGCATTTGTAGATGAATTGCTACTAATTGAGTACTAGGCTCACATCTTGGACTACCTCCTGATATATCAGCTGGAGGAGAATCATGAGACTTTGTATTTCTCATCATAACAACTAGCTTTTTAAACAACTATATAAATAAAGCCCTGAGTTTTAGGTTTTTTTTGTTTTTTTTTTTTTGTCACTTGGAATTCACTAGGATGAATAGTGAAGAGAAGTGTCTTTATTTTATCAGCTCTAATTACTCTTGACTAAAGAAGAATTTCTTCCTTAGACTATTGATATAATGTGAAATACTGACAGTTTAATGGACCAGTTAATTGATATGTACCCTGGAAGAAATTTGGGTCTGTGTTCACCAACTGCAGATGAGTGCCACATTTGTAAATGCACTCAGATGAGGATAAGGATGTTAAAAAAAATGCTGAGGGGCTGTTGGCACTTAAGTGTCAATGGAAGATAAGTTTTATTCTTGTATATGAGTCTGAGGGAAAATGTCTTATGATAGTAGAAGAACAAACATCCTACTCTGAAAATTTTTTGTGGATAGCTTAATGTGCCAAACTGGGATCTAGAGTAAGTTATGCAGCCTTCGATTGATAGTAGTAGTTTGCTTTTTCCACTGTAGTGTGTTAGAATTGTTTTTCACAATGTGAGGTTTTGGGTTTTTAAAAAATATGTTATCAGAGCAATTTTTTTTGCTTCATGGAGATTGCCATTACCAGTTTTCTTGTTTAGTTAAAACTCCTTGTTGTAGGATGTCAGGCACATTTTAGTCAAATTCTAGCTATTCCTCTCAGTGATTGCAAACTGTTTTACCACCTTAGTAGTAATGATACCTTGGATTTATAGTACTTGTAGAGAGTTCAAAGAACTTTCATGTCTCTAATGTTTTTTATCCCTTTGAGGGACGGGGGCAGTTTGTTATCTCCATTGTACAGGAGGAGAAATTAAGCCCAAGGTGACTTGCTCTAATGCCACAAGTCCGGCTTCTCTTACTTCTGGGACTCCATCTAAGAGACAGTTGAATGTTCTATTAAATGGAGCAGAGAATTCGAGGGCTATTTTTTTTTTCCCCCAGATGTCACCTTTTTAATTCTCTAATATAAAAATATTGTTAAACAGTATAACTTTATTCAAAATATATGTATAGTAAGCCATTGTTTTTTTTTGCCCTGTTCTGCCCCATTCTACTCTCCCAAGTTTATGTATTTTCTTGGTATTTTGTATGCATATATAAGTAAATGTATGTATTTTTTTAAACAAGTACAAGTGAAATCATGTATTTGTATCTATTGTTGAGCAATTTTTTTTTTTTTCACTTGGCAGTATGGACACTTTTCAAAATGAACTCAGAAGTTGGCAAGCTTTTTCTAAAAAAGACCAAATATTAAATATTTTAGGTTTAGTGTGCTACCTACCTCTCTGTTACATATGTGTTTATTTTACAACCTTTTAAAATGTAAAAAGCATTGTTAGCTTGCTGACAGTGGAAAAAGTAAAAGCCACATGTGGGCTATGGTTTGTTAACCTTTGATAGATATCTATTTCCTCTATTAGTAAGCATTTCAGTTTTTAGGTGTTTGTGTGTGTGTATGTATGTATATATGTATATACGTGTGTGTTCATTTATTCTTTTTTGCCGTAAACAGTGTTAGAATGAAGACCGCTTTTAGAGTTAACAAAGTACCCTCATCTCTTACTTTCTCTGGTGTGTGTGTGTGTGTGTATTTATATTTAATCCTTAAAGAAGCTTAAACTTTACCTTAGAAATCAAGGTTGTCCCTGTTGATTCTGGATGACTAATGGCTTTTCTCGTCCCCAGGGTCCTAACCTGATTATAAAACAGCCAGATGAGTTGCTGGACAGCATGTCAGATTGGTGTAAGGAGCATCACGGGAAGGTAACATTACCAAATGACAGGATTGCTGCTTTGGGGATCAGTAACAACATCTGAATCCTATACGATTGTTGGATGGTATTTTAAGAAAGGGTTAGAGGAAGATTGCTTGGCAAGCCTGGGAAACTGCTTGCTTGTTTACTTTTCATCTCTGGGACCTCTTGAGATCATCTCCTGAATGTCCTCCCTTTTGCTCTCCTACATCCAGTCTGTCACGAACGCATTGTGGATTGTCAAGTATTGCTCAAGTCAGTCTTTTGGATAAGGTTAGACATCAACTTTCAGAGAAGGGGGAATGCTGCTCTCCTGCTAATAGTTGTTTCTTTCCAGAGATTATATGCTTGGACTGTGAGCACCATCTTTTTTGACTGGAGATGCTATTAACAATCAGGCACATAGCTTCTTTGACTTGGATTGTTTAAGAAAAAATCCGTGCAAAGATGGCAGTTTCAGTTTGAACTTGGCCTCTGTAAATGGTTCATTCATGGTTGTATTTGGCCGTTTTAGAAGTAAAGTTTTGTTTCTGGATGCCTTTGAAATCTGACTTCATGTGTTTCTGGTGGGGTTTGGGGATTCTCTCTTGCAGTCTGGTCTAACCAAAGCAGTGAAGGAGAGTACAATGACCTTGCAGCAGGCAGAGTATGAATTTCTGTCCTTTGTACGACAGCAGACTCCTCCGGGGCTCTGTCCACTTGCAGGTAAAATCCAATCCTACGTATGCCTTGTAGATAGTCTTCCATTGTAGTGGTTC